CCTAAATTACGGGCGCAATTGAATGAAATTTAGAGACATGAAACAGAGCATCGTTCTCACACAAGAATTACGAAATACATAAGGAGAAGATGAAAATGCTTGTAGTTCTAGAGTGTTGCCTTTTAAAAAGTCTAAAAATGGCTGTTTATAACCCAGTCCTCCAGCAATGGGGAAAGCATAAGTAGATGCAGTATGTATATTCCTCAGAAGTTCAGTAGCATGTTCAACATGTTGTTAGGAACGTGTGATAAAATGCCTTGGTCAGCGTAGACAATATAATCAAAATACTTTCTTATTTGACATCACACACGCAATGACAATTAGCTGCCTGAGAAAATAAAAAGAAAATCCCCATCATGAAAAAAATTCTGTTATTTGGAGAACCAGGCAATCATTCATTTCTCTTCCAGCCGGTGGTACTTTGGTCTGGGACTCACTGCCTAAGGTGAGTGGACAGATATAAACTGACTTCGCTCTATGGCTGAGAACCTTCTCTTCGTGTGCCACTCAGTGTCCCACAGCTGTGGTCTTGGAAGAGGGAGAAGGGATAAGACGAAGTGCGGAGAAAGAAGAAGGGAAAAAGGAAAGGAAGACATCTTACAGAAGCAGGCAGAATCTAACCGCCTCACCTCTGCGGGGGGGAGATTGGGAGGTTAGGCATGCGTTTCTTTCTTGGGCAATGTTTCTTAGATGTGTACGGAACGAACTCCGCTGCAGTGCTAGGCTGAATATCTCAATGTGTCTTTATGAATTATCCTGCAATCTTAACCATGGTTTTAACATTGTTTATTTACTACAGGAGAATAAAAGGTCTATGAAGTTGCAATTAACCAAATTAGGGAGATGTTCTTTGAGCACAAGTCCTTTAGAAATTGTACTATATTTATATACTAGTGTGGAAAGCCTTGAACTAAATATTATCAATGTATCAATCTCAACAATTGAAAGTGCTCACTCTCTGTTCATAATTAGGACATCCAAAAGAAACAAAAGATTTAATTATCTGAAAATTATAATTGATTAGATGATTGTATAATTGATTAGATGATTGTCTACTTCAGTGTTGACTTCTAAAAATAATGTTGTAAATATTGAATTCTTTCCTCACGGATACATTTTTGAACTAGATGTGTGCTTTGAAACAATCTGTGTTTCTTCGTATACTTATACCTCCATATACTCCAGTGATCTTAAAGAGGAAAAGAGACAACAGAGAAAATGAAAGAAAAATGTGGAGCACATCTTGCCCTGCACACCTGCCTTGTCGTTCCACGTCCAGAGGAAATTCTCTCTCTCTGTTCCTTTCTTCTCACTTTTCTCTTGGATATTCTATACCTCACCCCTTGTATTTAAATCATTGTTTTCCAGTCTCCTCTAAAAGAAGACCGAGGATGGATGGTGGAGGGAGAGAGAATATAGAAGGGAGAATCTCAGTGAAGACCATGAGGCAGTTCTGAGACTCAGTTAGGTACACAGGTGTCATTCACACAGATAAAACTGTACATATCTGTGTGTTCATTATGGCCTTAATCCTCAATCAGGGGCGGCAGGCAGCGGGTTATCTGGTCAATTTTTAAAGAAGATAATTTTTTTTAATCCCCAAGTCTGATTTTTAGTGAATGTATAGTTTCATTCTCTTCCTCAGTGCCTTTATCTTACTAGAAATACTAAAAAGTTGAAATAAGGACTTGAGTTTCCCCTCTTTCTTCAGTAAAATAAATGTGTGTGTTTATGTATGTAAATCATGAAGAAGGAACAGTGAGTCCACAGTGGAAACATTAGACTTAAAAAATTAGACTCAGAAAAGCTGATATATGGTTAATTCGTAAATATTACAGGACATGGCTTGTGGACAATTTTTTTTTCTCATAATTAAATCCAGCCCTATTCTGACACACAACAAGTTTTGAAGATTATTGAATTCAGTCAAAAAAAAACTGGTTAGTAACCTTGTTTATTGCTCAATTATTATCAAAGACTTTCATATTTGCCTAAACTTTCTAAAAATTATTTTTGTTTTGAAACAGGCTTAAAGAAATGCATCTATTAACATGAAGCTAAGACCGACCAAGAGTTCCTTCTTAGGTCTTAAAATAAAATCCCAGAAAACAAATATATGATTATTTATTTTCATGACATCTACTGTTTCACATCATTTAAATGCTATCAGAATAAAAATTATAGCAATGAATCTGTTTCAGGCTTATAGCTAAATATTCCAGTTTAAATAGACATTCTTCTATGTGCATTCAACAAAAGCTTTCCTTATACTATACTCAAGGCCAACAACTTCTAGTTAATTTACTGAAACTGAAATGTCCATATTTATATTATTAATAAATCATTTATGCTTCCATAGGCACAGAAACAAATATTTTGCTGTTTGATTAGATATATTTAGGAATTACAGCTTTCTAACTTAGCCAGATTACATTAGAGATTTAAGTGACGGTCTTTATAAGCAAATACAACATGGAACTACTAACAAGAGGAAAGATTCAAAATTAGAATAAAAAAGAAAGATGAGGATTGCTTCTCGAAAAAGCTGTTTTGCGAAATAACCTATGTTATTTTTAACTTTTCCATATCCTGTTTGGGGGGAAATGTTTGTTTTTTATGCTTTGCAAATCATATACAAGGTTATTGTTTTCACACATAAGATAACATCAGATTACTGGAAAAAATAATTACACCGAACAAATGTTTCATATAACAAAAATTTAAACTTTTTTAAAGCTATTTAAGTTACTCAGGTATATTGTATAATCTGTCCTGAGAATAAAAACCTGAGTTGGTCAAATTAATCAAATAATGACCCCAATTTTGATATTTTACTCTGCATTTTAGAGAGCAAAAGCATGATCATCTTAAAAATTCATTAGAAATGTAAAAAACTTCTTGTATTTATGCTTTGGTTAAAGACCCACACTTGTGATACTAAAACTTAAACTTTGCATTATCGGTGGAATTGCTATTCATGATTATTAGCATTCTAACTTTTAATCATTGTTACTCGGGGTAACAAAATATGCCTAAGAGTAGAATATATACAGAAGCAAGCAATTTTTAATCCCCAGACAACACAGATAGAAATATGCAGAGAATGGGATAGAAAGATACAGACGCAGTTGTGTGCAATCCAGCGTTCGCGGCTCCCCGCCGGTCGGAGACACAAACACAAACCCGCGACCTCACAACTGCACCCACTCACAGACATAGTTCTTTCCCTTTTCTCTTCTTTTTTGTTCTATTCTTTACTCTGCCCACAAATGTGTATTTATGATAGACAGATGCATAAATACACTTTTAGATGGTTTTTACTCGTCAAAGTACTATGGTCCTTGGATGGATTTAGTCAATTTTAGAAGCTGCACAGGAAAGGCTTACAAACAGATAAGGAGGATTTGCACCACTTTTTAATATCTATATTCGTAGGTATAATGTATACACATTCATATAAGTAGACATCCACAGAGCACATGTTACCAATTAAAAGCTACATAAACTTAAATCTAAGTGAAAGCTTCAAAGCTTGTCAGCCTTTGGAAAATGTACATTGCCTTTAATTCAATGAAGAAAGCAAAAAAAAAATACTTTTCATAAATAAACACAAGGATTCTTTTATATTTACCTTTTTTCTGCAGATCTATAAAGTCAGGGAGGGGAATAGGCAAAGATGAACGATTTCCATTTTTTGCTAAGTATCATCTAATGTAAGAACTAATTTCGTGGAGGCATCCTTCTCTGAAATCAGGTTTCATCTTTCTTGCCGCCATTTGTCTATGGTCTCTTTTTTGGTTCCTGTTAACTCAAAATTTTAATTTTGAAAATTAGAAGGCAAGTATTCACCTAGGCGCCTACTAAATAAAAAGAACTCTATGAAATACTAAAGGAATAAAAAAAATATTCTGTGGAATCTATAATCTAGCAAAGGAAACATTTGCATGTTGAGCTCACTATAATGAATGAAGTAATGGAGGTGTGATCGAAGTGTAATTTCAGGAGAGAGTCCAACTAGGGGGCTGAAAAGCTGGAGACGTCACAGATACCTTTTTTTAAGAAACAGTAGCAGGCGATTTCAAAGAAAATGTCATAACCTGAAATTTACAAAAAAAAGAAGTCGGGGAACCATGGCGTGTCATAACAAACAAGACGCGGAGTGGTGATGCCTAGTCAC